TTTGTGAATATGTAAATGGGTTACGAAAATACGTTTCCTTTACTCCTCGAGTGGCTAAATCATCCATAGGTCAAAAAGGGAATTAAAAGATCATATCAAAGGGAAACCCTGGCAATATTACACACACACCCATATATGTGTGTGCGTATATAACGATTTAGTATTGGAAATAATCTACAAATCACAGCTTTCCTTTTTTCTGTTATCAAACAGGAACCAATGAACCATTATTAACAATAACCTCCTTTAAAAGGGAGATGATCATCAAGGATAAAGAATATTTTTTTTCTTTCAAGATATTCATATTCATTCAAATATTTACTATAGGAGAATAGTATTATCAAGTCATAGCTTTCACATCCTCGTTATTAATTGGAAAATTCTATTCATTCTTTGTTCAAGATGACCAGCTCGGAAACGCAAGTATATATGGATATGCATATTCAAATATCCATGTATTCCTAATGTGATCCTTTCAGAAAATAGTGCCTATAAAAAGAAGTGTTATGTGTATCATTCTTGATACAATCATTTGACAAAGAAAGGATGATTATTATTATTTACCTAAACATGTGCCAAAATCGCTACATTCCGTCGTATCAAAACAGTCGCCGCTTCATCTCATTCAATCACGCGGGAGGAAGGGAAAGCGAGGGTGTAAGCAGCAGGGAGGGACGAGAGGAAGGGGGAGAATGCAAACAGGATGGAAGAAGGAACGAGGGTAAAGGCAGGGGCAGGGTGTAACCATGATAGAAGGAAGAGAGGGAGGAAATGAGGGTGCAATGTTGTCTTCTCCGGCTATTCTCCCCCCTCTGTTGCTGTAGATTTGTAACTTCTCTTTTCGTTTTCTGAATATTTGCTATGGATGATACATAAGCTATGCAAAACATTTGATATTCAATAGCCCTTCCAAGACAGTGATAACTAGAACTGGGTAATCTACATCGAAACAAGCAAGCTAATATTATGTGTTTTACGCTATTCAGAATGCAGTGATTCAGAGCCTTTAGGTTGGTTATAATATACAACGAGGTATTAAATAAATGGGATATATGTACATACATTAATACATTATGAAGATAAAACAAATCACAGGAGAAGATTATTAAGAATATTTTTTCTTCTAAGACACTCTATACAATCCCAGAAATCCGTTAAAATAGGGATCAAATGAATAAACAGGTATCAGAAAGATCCGTATTCATTAAGAATACATATAATTACTAAAAAAATATTGTCATATCACAGATTTCACACCTGTTATTAGTCGGAAAATCCCATTCATTCTTTGCTCAAGATAACCAGTTCAGAAATGAAAAATGTTTGCTGGAAAACGTGTGTTTCTGAAAACATGAAAACGCCAGTATACTTGAATACTCATTCTTAAATCTCCATGTATTCCTTGTTTAATGTATTAAGAAAAACAGTGCTATACAAATAAATATTTTATGTATCATTCACGATGCGTTAAAATAGTAGTAAATGTTTTCAAGGGTTATGAGATTCATCGAAATTATATGTATTTCAGTTGAAGATAAAACTCAGACGCATCAAATAAGATGCGCAGTAAAGATATTAATTCTTATTCACAATTATATTTATCACAATGATCTCGAATCAACGAAAAACTAGGCTTGTTTACTTTCTCTGTGTAATTAAAATCCTATCTGATAAAAAAGTGATAGATTAATATTACATTTCGCATTACTTAGTGCTCTATGTAATTATGATTCAGATGAAGGGAACAAAGAAATGGCAGGGTAGTATAAACATATAAGGATTATTATTCCCCAAAAAAATATTACAACTCACAGATATCCTATGTTCCCGTCATCAGATGGCTATTTATTAGCAATAACCACCCTTAAAAGGGGAGATGGTTATTGAAAAATGAGGGAGGTTTGCATACGTGTTCTCCCAAACACCTGTCGAAGCAACACTTATCGAGGCCTGCACACTTGTAGTCGTTGGAACAGGTTGTGGGTGGCCCATGGAAACGTGGGCATGTGGGACGGACTTGTGGACAAGTCGAGTGGCTTGGTACCAACAGGTGTCTCAGGTTCATGAACCGTCTCACAGCAGTAGGCTTGACCCTCCGGAGTCTTGCACCAATATCTGCATTCACTTGGGCCATTGGAGACTCCACCGCCAATAATACCACTACCACCGTGGATTCCACCATGGATACCGCCACCATGGATTCCGCCACCATTAAAACCGCCGCCGAAGAGACCACCTCCATGGACGCCACCGAAGCCTCCAGGAAGGAATCTGTTGGATCCTTGTCCGCCTCTCCTTCGGTCTACACCTCCGGATACGGCCACTAGGAGGCAACACGCAATCACGGCTTTGATGCACTGCAAGAGAAAATAAGGGAATTATCCATCGTGATACATATTGGTTTATCGTTGTAAAATTATGTCTAATTTGTAATCAATCATGTTCATAAGACGATATGAACATCACAATGCCTCTAAAATAGTCGACCATAATACTATGGCATCTTGCAAACAGCACTCACATTCATTGTTGGTTAAAGGTTAGCTGTGTAATACGAAGGGTGGAAGTACAACATCGCTTATATACAGGAACTGGCGGTCGCCTCCCCTCCCCCTTCCTAACTTCTCACCAGTCGGGATATCCCAAGCCAGCGGCACTTCCTGGTATCGTGTTTAGTTTTCCATTTTGCTTTTTGCCAAATACTTTGAATCCTCTTACCTTATTTTCACTAACGACAAAGATCAAAATAACAGTGATAAAGTGTAAAATTCTTGACGTTAGCAACACTCCATAATAGACTTGTACTTTCCTCTGTGACGTCATCAGCCGTGTACTCAATGACCGTTCCCTTCCAGATCGCTGTTTAAGTTTTCTCTTTTTCTTCTCTCTTCTTTCTCCCTCTTTATTCTTCTCTCTCTTGCTTCCTCTCCCCCTTCTCTTTTTTCCCTCTCCCCCTGTTTCTGAATAGCTGCTGCTCTCCATCTTCCTTTTTCGGAAAAGTAATCAGCAATTGATTTATTAATTAGAGATATATTGATAGATGAAAACGATGTGAAGAAAAGGGCAAAATAAATTCAAGATAAGAGAAATAAGTAGTCTCGAAGGACTAGAATCTAAAGATTTATATACATACATATATGTTATCCACATCTATCGTTATGCTTTTAGTATTAGTACCGTTATTATATTTATTATTCGATGGGTGTTTTGAAGAACATGTATGCAAGCCTACTTCACACACTCAGAATTATTTCCCTTTTCAAAGGTTTATAATCTAGCGTGGAGTGAGTGCATTGTAGATATTCTTTTTTTTCTTTTTTTTTAAATTAAGACCATACAAAATTTTAATTCCTTTATTTCCACAGCATCAAAAAATAATCCTAAAAGCACTGGACCAATGGCAGGTTATAAGATAAAAAACACTAGAATACGCACTAGGGTGTCTGATCCTTCGTGGAGAGGAGAGAGAGGGGGAAGGGAGGAGGAGGGAGTAGAGTGCAAGCAAAATGGAAGGAGTAAAGGGTAGAACGAAGGAAGGAAGAGTGTGAGTGTAAACAGGGCGGAAGGAGGGGGGCGGTAGTGCAAGCACTTTGGAAGATGGAAGCGGAGTAAAGCTAGAGCAGGGTTCAATCTGGATGGAATGAGGAACATAAGAAAGGAAGAAGGGTAGAGGGCACAAATATAATGGGAAGGAAACAAATGCAGGAGGAAGAGAGGGAGGGGATAGTGCAAGGAGGATGAAAGGAGACAGTGAGGAAGGAAGGGGGAGAAAAGTGCAATTGGAATGGAATGAATTGAATGGAAGGGGCAAGGCAGGTTACAGGCAGGATATATAGAGGGAAGAAGGTAGGCAGGAAGGGGAAATGTACAAGGAAAGGTTGCCAGCTACTTTCCAAACTCTATGACATCACACTAACTAATTTCGGTATGACTATGAGGATCTATATCTGGTTTATCGTATGTTGCTGCGGCAGATTCATATTTCACTACCCGCTGCTTTTTCAGAAACAGATTCAGGATATTAAGCTTGTATTTTTCGAAATAAGATACCTGCAGACATGTGCAAATACACGTACATGTACATATACACAAGCGTATGTCTATATAAATGTCAACACTTGCATTTTTCCAAGACCTTTCATAATTTTATAAAGTGATATCCAAAAATGGAATCTACATAGAAATCAATTGATCTCATATGTTTTTATATCATTCACAATACAAAAAGTAGTCTTTTATAGTTGCATGAGGTCATTGTACTTTAAACATATGTTCAATTTGATTAAAATCTAAATATAGGGATTAAACAAGTGCAAGGGAATATAAATAAATGATTTATTATCAAAATATAAATATCTACAAATCACAGATCTCCCATCTTCCGTTATCAACTGGAAAATCGATGACTCCTTATTAGCGATAAGCACCTTTAAAAGGGGAGATGGTTATTGAAAAATGAAGGAGGTTTGCACACGTGTTCTCCCAAACACCTGTCGAAGCAACACTTATCGAGGCCAGCACACTTGTAGTCGTTGGAACAGGTAGTGGGGGGCCCATGGAATCGTGGGCACGTTGGACGGACTTGAGGGCAAGTGAGTGGCTTGGTGCCAACAGGTGTCTCTGGTTCATGCACTGTCTCGCAGCAGTAGGCTTGACCCTCCGGAGTCTTGCACCAGTATCTGCATTGGCTTGGGCCATTAGCGATTCCACCACCGATAATAGCACTACCACCGTGGATTCCGCCACCATGAATTCCACCACCATGGATTCCGCCACCATTGAAACCGCCGCCGAAGAGACCACCTCCATGGACGCCACCGAAGCCTCCAGGAACGAATCTGTTGGATCCTTGTCCACCTCTCCTTCGGTCTACACCGGCCGAGACGGCCACCAGGAGGCAACACACAATCACGGCTTTGATTCTCTGCAAGAGAGGACACGGAAATTATACATTGTGATACATATTGGTTTACTGTTAAATTTTAAAATGTTTAATTTATAATCATATTCACATCAAAATGGAGAACATATATATTATAGTACATCTTACACCAGGTACTCACATTCATTGTTGGTTAGATGTTAGCTGTATAATGTGAAGAGTGGAAGATACAACGTCGCTTATATACAGGAACTGGTGGCCGGCCCCTCCCCCCTCCCCAACCTCTCCGCCACGCAAGACGGGATATCCCAAACCAGCGGCGTAAATTTCCATGTACTGTTTATGGTTTATCATTTCATTTCTTGCGAAATACTTTGATTCCTCTTTCATTTTCTCACTGATGATGAAGATCAAAGTAACAGTGATAAAATGTGTAGATGGAAAGAGAGAAGGAAAAAAAATCATCTAATATGGAAAAAAAAGCATTTAATTAGAAAATATACAAAATGCCATTGGCAATGGATGATTATCAGTATTCACCTATACATCTGTTAAAATGGCCCAATCATGCGGAGAGAGGAAAGGAGGGCAAGGGTGTAAGTAGCCAGGAAGGACGGGAGGAAGGGGGGGGGGGGTGCAAACATGATGGAAGAAGGAAGAAAGGGAGGGAAGGAGGGTGCAAGCAGGATGGAAGGAGGAAGAAGGGTACAATCAGTGTAGGAGGCATGATGGATTGAAGGAGGGAAAAGAGCATAAACAGAATGGAAGGGAACAGTGAATGAGAGGGAAGAGAAGGAGGAAAGAGTGTGCAAAGATATTGAAAGGAGGAGGGAAAGAGAGAAGGGTGCAGGTTGGACGAGAGGTGCAAGGGATGGATAAAGGAAATGATGGAAGGAGCTGGTTACAGGCAGGATGGATGAAGGCAGAGAAATGAATTCGCATTCATAGAGTGATGTGATAGCCACATTTTTCCTTAAAGCAAATTTAATCGAACATTACCTATCAACTCAAGTGAATGAATAAGAAAAAAGAGAAGAGAGATCCTGAAGATGGCAACACTTTACGCGAAGACTCGTTCTATATTCTGTGACGCCATTAGCCACAAACTCGATGACGTCACTGTGACGACGCCTTCTAAATCCCAGTGATATTTTTTTTCGCTGGATATTCTCCCTTCCTCCCTGATGTTGTAGCTTTGTAACTTCTCTCCTCGTTTTCTAAATGTCCCCAAGGACGATATTGTATAGGCATATGTAAACATTTGCGTATTCACTAGCCATTTCATCGTCTTTTGGATAGTGCAAATCAGAAGTAGGGAAAACCTTAATCAAAGTAATAACCATCGAAACCATTGCCTATAACATCATGTGTTTTACTCCAAAGACAGTGCAGTAAATTAGGCTCTTATGGTTGGTTAAGATCAATGTACTTCATATCAATGTTCAATTGATTTTAATCTATAAGAGAGGATTAAATACATGCAAGGGATACAAACGTACAATCATATATATATATATATATATATATATATATATATATATATATATGTATATATGTATATATATATATATATATATATGTAAAGGGTTTTTCATTTGGTGATGGTTTCACATCATTATTGATTATTTGCATGTTTGTTTTGTTGTGTGTGTGTTCGTCTGTGCGTGTGAAAGTTTAGTAACCCCTCAACATGGGAGGTCACTTTGCTCCGATCTTCTCGGCTGATCACATGTGAGTATATCGATTTCGACGATCTTTATATATATGTTATGGCTATACTGACTTTAATAAAAAAAAAAAAAAAAAAAAAAAAAAAAAAAAAAAAAAAAAAAAATACATGTCTACCATATTTTAACATCTGTGGAATTTACAAAGATCCTGGCATATCATATCACAGATTTCACACCAGTTATTAGTCGGAAAATCCTATTTATTCTTTGCTCGAGATAACGAGCTCGGGAAGTGGAATATGTTTGCTAGAAAACGTTGTGCGTGTTTCTGAAAACATGGAAACGCAAGTATACATGGATACGCATACTTAAATCTCCATGTATTCCTTGTGCCTATAAAGATAAGTATTATATGTATCATTCACAATACGATAAATTAGTAGTAAAATGAAATGTATTTCAATTGAAGGTAAAACTCAGACGCATCAAATACTTATGCGCAGTTAAGATATTAATACTTATTCACATATATATTGGTCACAATGATCTCGATTTAGCGAAAAACTTGGCTTGTTTAGTTTCTCTGTGTAATTACTATCCTATCTGATAAAAAAGTGATAGAGTAATATACATTCGCATTACTTTTACTTCAGTGCTCTATTTGATTATGATGTAGACGAAGGGAACAAAGAAATGCAAGGAAGTATAAACATATAAGGATTTATTATTTAAAAATAAATATCTACAAATCACAGATTTCGTATCTTCCGTCATCAGCCGGAACATCAATGGCTCTTTACTTGCAATAACCATCTTTAAAAGGGGAGATGGTTATTAAAAAGTGAGGGAGGTTTGCACACGTGTTCTCCCAAACACCTGTCGAAGCAACACTTATCGAGGCCAGCACACTTGTAGTCATTGGAACAGGTAGTGGGGGGCCCATGGAATCGTGGGCATGTTGGACGGACTTGTGGACAATCGAGTGGCTTGGTACCAACAGGTGTCTCTGGTTCATGCACCGTCTCACAGCAGTAGGCTTGACCCTCCGGAGTCTCACACCAGTATCTGCATTCACTTGGGCCATTGGAGACTCCACCACCGATAATAGCACTGCCACCGTGGATTCCACCACCATGGATACCACCACCATGAATTCCGCCACCGAAGAGACCGCCCCCGTGGACGCCACCAAAGCCTCCAGAAAGGAATCTGTTGGATCCTTGTCCACCTCTCCTTCGGTCTACACCGGCGGAGACGGCCACCAGGAGGCAACACACAATCACTGATTTGATGCTCTGCAAGAGGAGATAAGGGAATTATCTATCGTGATGCATATTAGTTTATCGTTGTTAAAGTAAAATTATATATAATTTATAATCAAACAAGTTCATAACAGGATATGAACATCAAAATGGTTGTAAAACGGTGGAACATAAATACTGTAAGGCATCTTGCAAATAGCACTTACATTCATTGTTGGTTAGAGGTTAGCTGTATAATGTGAAGAGTGGAAGTACAACGTCGCTTATATACAGGAACTGGCGGCCGCCTCCCCTCCCCCTCCCCAACCTCTCCGCCTCGCCAGTCGGGATATCCCACGCCAGCGGCACATCCTGGTATCGTGTTTAGTTCTCCGTCTCGCATTTTGCGAAATACTTTGATACCCTTTTCCTTATTTGTATTGATGTCAAAGAGGAAAATGACAATGGTGAAATGTGAAGGTGGAAAAGTCTGGTAACAGGAATAATCAGCGTTTCATTAGATAAGACGAATCTACAGAATTTCTTGACATGAATATCAAGCTTCGATGGTCAGCTATACAAAATTGTTACTTATACACGAAGGCCGATTATCAGTATTTATCTCTGCTTTTACCAAATTAGCTACATTCCGTCCAACTTAAACAGTCGATTCACTTATTCACGAGGAAGAACTCCCTAACAATCTTAATAATCCTTTTTTCATATGTATGTAAATCAGTTTCATAAAGGTCAGGGGACAGAGAATCAACGGAAAACTACTTTTACACGTGCGAGGTGTCTTCAGCTCGGTTTAAATTCAACATAGGTAATGGGATTACCACGAGATAGTTCGGCGAAAAAGGGAGGCAAAAAAATATTGACGTTGGCAACACTCCATACGGTGGTTACTAGACTTGTACTTTTCTCTGTGACGTCATCAGCCGTGTACTCAGTGACGTTACCTTCCAGATCGCTGTTTAAGTTTTCTTTTTTCTTTTTCTCCTTTCTCTCTCTTTCCCTCCTTCTCATTCTTCACCTCTCTTTCTTTATCTTCCTGTCCCGTTTTTTTTTTTTTTTTTTTTTACCTAATTAGCAATTTATTAATTAACGAATGATATATTGACAGATGGAAACAAAGAAGAAAGGAAGAAAAGGACAAAGGGAATGAGGGAAGGGGCAGGTTACAAGCAGTGCAGATAGAGGGAGGAAGGTAGGTAGGGAAGAGAAAAGGTGCAATGAAAGGTTGCCAGGTACTTTCCAAACTCTATGACAACACTAACCAGTTTCTGCATAACTATGGGGATTGTTACGGCTGGCATGTCACTAAGAGAATTCAGGGGAAGAACAGCTCAACTGAACTCTAATTCTCCTAATGCGATAGCCAGAATCATAAACGGAAAATCAAAACTGAATGATGCGGCCTGATATATTGAATGGCTAAATACCACGTAACAACAGCAGTCCTTGTGTTAAAGTACCACTAGTGATTGTCTAGTTTCTTCTTGTTCATTCGTTGATGTCATTCATTCTCCAGCCTTTATTATGATGCCCATTAATGCCGTTTGCTTATCATTAAATATGTTAATTAATTCATTCATTTATCATGTCTTTCAATGATTTATTTTTATCAGTAATTGTTTGTAAAGTACTTTCATTATTGTATTATAATCCTTTTTAAAATAAATGTATTAAAGTCCTTTTTCATTATTAGTTATCAATCATCTACTCTTATTAATTAGTATTTATAAATTGTCAAAAGAGATTTGGAAGACACGTAAAATCATTTACTTACATTTAATTATATTTGTGCCTTCACCAAAATAAACAAAATACACAAAACACACAAACACAAGAAATTCCTTTGCGGTATATTACTAAAATATAATATATCGCCCTAATCTTAACAAAAGGAAATACCAACCAAATACAATTAACAGAAAAAACAAACGGCAGAGGGGTCTTGCCTAGGCCTATGGCGGTGGAAGAGCGACCGAGGCCATCTTTCCCAGGAATCCAAGGCAGCGAGCTAGACGGCGAGGGGGGAGGGGGACGTTACTGCAGGAACTGCCTAGTTACAGTAGCCAACATTATTTCAATAACCATTTTACTAATTAAGTATTCATTGATTTTAAACTTTACTTTAATAAGATCTATGTCGGGTTTATCATATGTTGCTTCAGCAGATTCATATTTTACTACCGAGTACTTTTTCAGAAACAGATTCAGGATATTAAGTTTGCACTTTTCGAAATAAGACATACAAACATGTAGATATACACATGCACGTACATGTAGACACGAATTTGTACGTATATATGTTCGTATGTTTATATGAATATGTGAACACCTTTCATAATTTTGAAAACAGTGATTACTAGAAATCTACAAAGGAATCCACATAGAAATCAATTTATCTAATATGTTCATGTCATTCTCAATACGATAAAGTAGGCTTTTATATTTACATGAAATCAATGTACTTTATATATATGTTCAATATGATTATAATCTAGATGCAGGGATTAAACAAGTGCAAGGAAATATAAATATATGATTTATTATTAAGATAAAAATATCTACAAATCACAGATCTCCTATCTTCCGTTATCAACCGGAAAACCGATGACTCCTTATTAGCGATAAGCACCTTTAAAAGAATAGTTGATTATTGAAAAATGAAGGAGGTTTGCACACGTGTTCTCCCAAACACCTGTCGAAGCAACACTTATCGAGGCCAGCACACTTGTAGTCGTTGGAACAGGTAGTGGGAGGGCCATGGAAACGTGGACATGTGGGACGGACTTGTGGGCAAGTGAGTGGCTTGGTCCCAACAGGTGTTTCTGGCTCATGCACCGTCTCGCAGCAGTAGGCTTGACCCTCCGGAGTCTTGCACCAATATCTGCATTCACTTGGGCCATTGGAGACTCCACCACCGATAATAGCACTACCACCATGGACTCCACCACCATGGATACCGCCGCCGAAAAGACCACCTCCATGGACGCCACCGAAGCCTCCAGAAAGGAATCTGTTGGATCCTTGTCCACCTCTCCTTCGGTCTACACCGGCGGAGACGGCCACCAGGAGGCAGCACACAATCACGGATTTGATGCTCTGTAAGAGGAGATACGATAATTATACATTGTGATACATATTGGTTCACTGTTGTTAAATTTTAGAATATATAATTTATAGTCAAGTTCACAACAGAATACGAACATCAAAATGTCGAACATATATATCATAGTGCATCTTACATCAAATACTCACATTCATTATTGGTTTGAGGTTAGCTGTGTAATGTGGTGAGTGGAAGATGCAACGTCACTTATATACAGGAACTGGTGGCCGACCCCTCCCCCCTCCCCAACCTCTCCGCCACGCTAGTCGGGGTATCCCAAGCCAGCGGCGTAATTTTCCAGGTATCGCGTCTGGTTTTCCAGTTCACACCTTGCGAAATACTTCAGCTCGTCTTTCCTTTTTTCACTGATGAAGATCAAAGTGACAGTGGTGGAATGTATAGATGGAAATTGAGAAAGAATAAAAAGAGTCAGCTAACGGGAAAATCTGCGCTTAATTAGAAAATGTCAGTTATACATTTCAGTAACATAAAAAAGGTATTTAACAAATAATGGATGATTATCAGCATTTACTTACACATTTGCTAAACGGCTCTATTCCGTCCTGCCAAAACAGCCATTCAATCATAGGGGAGGAAAGAGGAAAGGAAGGCGAGGGTGTAAGCAGCAAGGAAGGACGGGAGGAAGGGGGAGAATGCAAACATGATGGAAGAAGGATGGAGGATAAAGCGGGGTCATTATGGAAGAAGGAAGGAGGATGAAGCGGGGTCATTATGGAAGAAGGAAGGAGGATGAAGCGGGGTCATTATGGAAGAAGGAAAGAGGATGAAACGGGGGCATGATGAAAGAAGGAAGGAGGATAAAGCGGGGTCATTATGGAAGAAGGAAGGAGGATAAAGCGGGGTCATTATGGAAGAAGGAAGGAGGATAAAGCGGGGTCATTATGGAAGAAGGAAGGAGGATAAAGCGGGGTCATTATGGAAGAAGGAAGGAGGATAAAGCGGGGTCATTATGGAAGAAGGAAGGAGGATAAAGCGGGGTCATTATGGAAGAAGGAAGGAGGATAAAGCGGGGTCATTATGGAAGAAGGAAGGAGGATAAAGCGGGGTCATTATGGAAGAAGGAAGGAGGATAAAGCGGGGTCATTATGGAAGAAGGAAGGAGGATAAAGCGGGGTCATTATGGAAGAAGGAAGGAGGATAAAGCGGGGTCATTATGGAAGAAGGAAGGAGGATAAAGCGGGGTCATTATGGAAGAAGGAAGGAGGATAAAGCGGGGTCATTATGGAAGAAGGAAGGAGGATAAAGCGGGGTCATTATGGAAGAAGGAAGGAGGATAAAGCGGGGTCATTATGGAAGAAGGAAGGAGGATAAAGCGGGGTCATTATGGAAGAAGGAAGGAGGATAAAGCGGGGTCATTATGGAAGAAGGAAGGAGGATAAAGCGGGGTCATTATGGAAGAAGGAAGGAGGATAAAGCGGGGTCATTATGGAAGAAGGAAGGAGGATAAAGCGGGGTCATTATGGAAGAAGGAAGGAGGATAAAGCGGGGTCATTATGGAAGAAGGAAGGAGGATAAAGCGGGGTCATTATGGAAGAAGGAAGGAGGATAAAGCGGGGTCATTATGGAAGAAGGAAGGAGGATAAAGCGGGGTCATTATGGAAGAAGGAAGGAGGATGAAGCGGGGGCATGATGAAAGGAGGAAGGAGGATAAAGCGGGGTCATTATGGAAGAAGGAAGGAGGATAAAGCGGGGTCATTATGGAAGAAGGAAGGAGGATAAAGCGGGGTCATTATGGAAGAAGGAAGGAGGATAAAGCGGGGTCATTATGGAAGAAGGAAGGAGGATAAAGCGGGGTCATTATGGAAGAAGGAAGGAGGATAAAGCGGGGTCATTATGGAAGAAGGAAGGAGGATAAAGCGGGGTCATTATGGAAGAAGGAAGGAGGATAAAGCGGGGTCATTATGGAAGAAGGAAGGAGGATAAAGCGGGGTCATTATGGAAGAAGGAAGGAGGATAAAGCGGGGTCATTATGGAAGAAGGAAGGAGGATAAAGCGGGGTCATTATGGAAGAAGGAAGGAGGATAAAGCGGGGTCATTATGGAAGAAGGAAGGAGGATAAAGCGGGGTCATTATGGAAGAAGGAAGGAGGATAAAGCGGGGTCATTATGGAAGAAGGAAGGAGGATAAAGCGGGGTCATTATGGAAGAAGGAAGGAGGATAAAGCGGGGTCATTATGGAAGAAGGAAGGAGGATAAAGCGGGGTCATTATGGAAGAAGGAAGGAGGATAAAGCGGGGTCATTATGGAAGAAGGAAGGAGGATAAAGCGGGGTCATTATGGAAGAAGGAAGGAGGATAAAGCGGGGTCATTATGGAAGAAGGAAGGAGGATAAAGCGGGGTCATTATGGAAGAAGGAAGGAGGATAAAGCGGGGTCATTATGGAAGAAGGAAGGAGGATAAAGCGGGGTCATTATGGAAGAAGGAAGGAGGATAAAGCGGGGTCATTATGGAAGAAGGAAGGAGGATAAAGCGGGGTCATTATGGAAGAAGGAAGGAGGATAAAGCGGGGTCATTATGGAAGAAGGAAGGAGGATAAAGCGGGGTCATTATGGAAGAAGGAAGGAGGATAAAGCGGGGTCATTATGGAAGAAGGAAGGAGGATAAAGCGGGGTCATTATGGAAGAAGGAAGGAGGATAAAGCGGGGTCATTATGGAAGAAGGAAGGAGGATAAAGCGGGGTCATTATGGAAGAAGGAAGGAGGATAAAGCGGGGTCATTATGGAAGAAGGAAGGAGGATAAAGCGGGGTCATTATGGAAGAAGGAAGGAGGATAAAGCGGGGTCATTATGGAAGAAGGAAGGAGGATAAAGCGGGGTCATTATGGAAGAAGGAAGGAGGATAAAGCGGGGTCATTATGGAAGAAGGAAGGAGGATAAAGCGGGGTCATTATGGAAGAAGGAAGGAGGATAAAGCGGGGTCATTATGGAAGAAGGAAGGAGGATAAAGCGGGGTCATTATGGAAGAAGGAAGGAGGATAAAGCGGGGTCATTATGGAAGAAGGAAGGAGGATAAAGCGGGGTCATTATGGAAGAAGGAAGGAGGATAAAGCGGGGTCATTATGGAAGAAGGCAGGATGGATGAAAGAGGTGGCAGGGAGGGAGGCAGGGATGGGGAGGGTGAAAGGAAGGGTTACTACTATTTTCCGAACTCTATGACGTCACACGAACCAGTTTCTGTATACTATGAAGTTCTGTGTCTAGTTTAACATGTGTTGCTGCAACAGATTCATATTCCACTATACATGTCTATTAGAAACAGATATAGGATTTTAAGCTTGTACTTCAAAAAATAAGATACAGATCTAGTATTATGACAAATTTCCTTTGGATTAGTTAAGAAAGAAGTGAATTCGCATACATAAAGTGGTGTGATAACCATATATTTCTTACTTAAAGTAAAATCAATTAAGCATTACTCGTCAACCCAAGTGAAAGAATTAGAAAAGGAAGAGAGATTCCTGAAGATGGCAACACTTACGCGAAGACCCGTTCTTTATTCTGTGACGTCATTGGTCACGAACTTGATGACGTAACTGTGACGACACCCAATGTTATTTTTCCCCGGGTATCCTCCCTCCTTCTGTTGTAGCTTTGTAACTTCTCTCCTCGTTTTCTGAATATTTGCATATTATAAAAGCATATGCAAACATTTGTATATTCGCTAGCCCTTTCATCGTTTTCAAGAAGACAAGAACAACCAGAAGCAAGGAATCGCCATCGAAACCATTGCCTTATAATAAGTATTTTACGCCATTCACAATGCAGTAAATCAGGCTTTTATAGTTAGTTATAATCTATAACGAGGGGTTAAATAAAAGCGATATATATAGATACATTAATATATATATACACACACACACACACACACACATACACACACACACACACACACACATATATATATATATACAGTATATATATAACGATTTACTTATGAAAATAAATATTTACAAATCACAGCTTTCCTAGTTTCCGTTATCAACCGGAAATCGATGACCCATTGTTAATAACCTCCTTTGATAAGGGAGATGGTTTTTTTTTTCTTTTTATTCTAAGATTCTCTATACAATCCTCGAGATCAGTTGTTGAAATAGGGATCAAATGAATAAACAGGCATCAGAAAGTTTAGAATTCTTTAAGCATTCATAGATATACAATAATTTTTTTTATTTTATCATATCACATACTGCACACCCATTATCAGTCAGAAAATCCCATTCGTTACTTGCTCGAGAGAACCAGCTCAGAAATGGTAAATGTTTGCTGAAAGAAACTTGTTTTTTTGAAAATATGGAAACGCAACTATATACGGATAGGAATATGTAAATGTCTGTATTCCTAAGGTATTGTATTCAGAAAATAATACCTATAAAATCAAGTGCTTTATGCATCTTTTATACGATACATTAGTAGTAAGATCTTAGGAAATTTTCACAGCTCAAGGGATGGGCTTAATACATTTCGACTATATATTTACCAGATATTATTTGTATCTCAGTTGCATGGAATATATATAATATTCTTATTACACCTACATTTGTCACAATGAATTCGGTTCAACGAAAAACTAGGCTTATATGGTTTCTTTGTATAATCACTACCATTGATATAAAAAAGTGATAGATCAATATAGAACAAGATTTCAGTTTTCTAGACGAAGGAAACAAAGAAATGCAAGGAAGTATAAACATTCAAGGATTTATTATGCAAAAATAAATATCTACAAATCACAGATTTACTATCTTCCCTTATCAACAGGAAAAGCGATTACTCCTTATTAACGATAGCTGCTTTTAAAAGAGGAGTTGATTATTGAAAAATGAAGGAGGTTTGCACACGTGTTCTCCCAAACACCTGTCGAAGCAACACTTATCGAGGCCAGCACACTTGTAGTCGTTGGAACAGGTAGTGGGGGGCCCATGGAAACGTGGGCATGTGGGACGGACTTGTGGGCAAGTGAGTGGCTTGGTGCCAACAGGTGTCTCTGGTTCATGCACCGTCTCGCAGCAGTAGGCTTGACCTTCCGGAGTCTTGCACCAATATCTGCATTCACTTGGGCCATTGGAGACTCCACCGCCGATAATAGCACTACCACCGTGGATACCGCCACCATGGATTCCACCACCATGGATACCGCCACCATGGATTCCGCCACCATTAAAACCGCCTCCAAAGACACCACCTCCGTGGACGCCACCGAAGCCTCCAGGAAGGAATCTGTTGGATCCTTGTCCACCTCTCCTTCGGTCTACACCGGCCGAGACGGCCACCAGGAGGCAACACACAATCACGGCTTTGATGCTCTGTAACGGGAGAAAACGAAATTATATATCATAATTCATATAAGTTTACTGTTGTTTAAGTAGAATTATAACTCATATTCAGTCAAGTTTACAGGATATGAACATCAAAATGTCTTAATACAGTTGAACATATAAACTTGACATCTTGCAAAAAGCACTCACATTCATTGTTGGTTGGAAACTAGCTGTGTAATGTGGGGAGTGGAAGACGCAACGTCGCTTAAATACAGGAACTGGCAGCCGCTTCCCCCCCCCCCCCTCCCTTACCTGTACGCTTTGCCTGTCGGGATATCCCAAGCCAGCGGCGTGAATTTCCAGGTAATGTGTTTGGTTTACCAGTTCACTTCTTGCCAAATACTTCGATTCGTCTTTCCTTTTAACACCGAATAAGATGATCATCAGTGATAGAATGTAGAGATGAAGAGAAAGAAAAATGTCAGCAGGAAAATCGGTGTTTAATTAGAAAATACAGGTCTGCTTTACAGGATTTGGCATTTAATAAAGAAAGGATGATTATCAGTACTTACTGAATATTTTAATATGTATATCTGATCGCCACACAAACAGTCGTCTCGCTTAATCAAAAGGGAGGAGGGAGGAAGGAGGGGAAAGACACAAGCAAGATAGGATGCAAGGGTGAATTGAGGGAGGGGAGAGAACACAAACAGAATGAAAGGAGAAAAGAAAGGAGGGAGGGAAGAGAGCTCAATTGGAATGGAAGGAGAGAATGAGGGAGGGAAAAGGAAAGGGGCGCAAGTAGGATGGATGGAGGGAGGGAAGGGGAAAGGCACAAGCAGGATAGGAGGCAAGGGGGGTTTGAGGGAAGTAAGAGAGAACAAACAGAATGGAAGAAGATAGTGAGGAAGGGAAGGGGATAAGCGTGCTATAACAATGAAGGGAAGAAGGGAAGGGAAGAAGCGCGCAAGTACAATGAAAGGAGCAAGGAGGGAGGGAAGGGGAAAGGCACAAGCAGGATAGGAGGCAAGGGGGGTTTGAGGGAAGTAAGAGAGAACAAACAGAATGGAAGAAGATAGTGAGGGAGGGAAGGGGAAAGGCACAAGCAGGATAGGAGGCAAGGGGGGTTTGAGGGAAGTAAGAGAGAACAAACAGAATGGAAGAAGATAGTGAGGGAGGGAAGGGGAAAGGCACAAGCAGGATAGGAGGCAAGGGGGGTTTGAGGGAAGTAAGAGAGAACAAACAGAATGGAAGAAGATAGTGAGGGAGGGAAGGGGAAAGGCACAAGCAGGATAGGAGGCAAGGGGGGTTTGAGGGAAGTAAGAGAGAACAAACAGAATGGAAGAAGATAGTGAGGGAGGGAAGGGGAAAGGCACAAGCAGGATAGGAGGCAAGGGGGGTTTGAGGGAAGTAAGAGAGAACAAACAGAATGGAAGAAGATAGTGAGGGAGGGAAGGGGAAAGGCACAAGCAGGATAGGAGGCAAGGGGGGTTTGAGGGAAGTAAGAGAGAACAAACAGAATGGAAGAAGATAGTGAGGGAGGGAAGGGGAAAGGCACAAGCAGGATAGGAGGCAAGGGGGGTTTGAGGGAAGTAAGAGAGAACAAACAGAATGGAAGAAGATAGTGAGGGAGGGAAGGGGAAAGGCACAAGCAGGATAGGAGGCAAGGGGGGTTTGAGGGAAGTAAGAGAGAACAAACAGAATGGAAGAAGATAGTGAGGGAGGGAAGGGGAAAGGCACAAGCAGGATAGGAGGCAAGGGGGGTTTGAGGGAAGTAAGAGAGAACAAACAGAATGGAAGAAGATAGTGAGGGAGGGAAGGGGAAAGGCACAAGCAGGATAGGAGGCAAGGGGGGTTTGAGGGAAGTAAGAGAGAACAAACAGAATGGAAGAAGATAGTGAGGGAGGGAAGGGGAAAGGCACAAGCAGGATAGGAGGCAAGGGGGGTTTGAGGGAAGTAAGAGAGAACAAACAGAATGGAAGAAGATAGATGACGTCCTACTAACCAGTGTCTTTTTAACTATGAAGATCTGTGTCTGGTTTAGCATGTGTTGCTGCAGCAGATTCATATTCTACTACACAGTAATTTGTCAGAAAAATATTCAGGATTTTAAGTATGTGTTATTCGAAATAAGATACAAATAAAGTGTTGTGATAAAACATCTTAAAATTAGTTAAGAAAGAATTAATTATGTATGCATAAAGTGGCGCAAAATTCATATATTATTTCATGTAAAATAAATGTAAGCGATCACTACGCGTCAACTGAAGTGAATAAATTTGAAAAAGAAAAGAGATTCCTGAGGATGGCAACACTTTACGCGAAGACTTGTTTTTTTGTTCTGTGACGTCATTGGCTACACACTTGATGGCGTCACAGTGATGACGCCTTCTAAATTCCATTTTTTTTCTCCACTTTAATTACCTCGTGGCTATGCCCTATCCCTCTATTGATGTACCTTCGTTTTTTTTTTCTGAATATCTGTTTGGACAATATTATATATATACATATTTGCACACAGACACATAAACACACGCACATTTATTCACACATGTATTTAAAGATATATGCGAATATATAGATACATACACACATATACCTCATTCAAAATGCGATAAATTAAGCTATTATATTTCATATCAATCTGATTATAACCTAATAGAAGGAATTAAGAAAATGCAAAGTGCTCAACACACACACACACACACATATAAACATATATATAGGTATACATACATACACATCTTTCTATATGTATAACGCTTTACTATTGAAAATTGATATATAGAAATCGCTTTCCTATTTCTTGTTAGTAACAGGAATTCGTTGACCCATTATTAATAACTACCATTAAAAGGGAAAATGGTTGTCAAGGATAAATGTACGATTTTTTTTTTTTTCTTTCAAGGTACTCTATACAATCCTCCGAGATATGCTGGTATAATAGGGATCAAATGGCTAAATAAACAGAAAGATGAGTATTCATTGTCGCCATAGATTTACTATAAGAAATAAATTTGTTACACTGAACTCGATACAACAACAACAAAAAATAGGCTTATGTGGTTTCTTTTAGTATTTACTACTGATAAAAAGTACATTTTTTTACGTGTTCGAATTGATTATTATAATATAAACGCCGGGAACAATGAAATACAAGGAAGTTTAGACAAATAAAGATTTTTTTTTTCTGAATATCTGTTTGGACAATAATATATATATACATATTTGCACACAGACATACAAACACACGCACATTTGTTCACACATGTATTTACAGATATATGCGAATATATAGATACATACACACATATACCCCATTCAAAATGCGATAAATTAAGCTATTATATTTCATATCAATCTGATTATAACCTAATAGAAGGAATTAAGAAAATGCAAAGTGCTCAACACACACACACATATAAATATAAACATATATATAGGTATACATACATACACATCTTTCTATATGTATAACGCTTTAATATTGAAAATTGATATATAGAAATCGCTTTCCTATTTCTTGTTAGCAACAGGAATTCGTTGACCCATTATTAATAACTACCTTTAAAAGGGAAAATGGTTGTCAAGGATAAATGTACTTTTTTTTTTAAGGTACTCTATACAATCCTCCGAGATATGCTGGTATAATAGGGATCAAATGGCTAAATAAACAGAAAGATGAGTATTCATTGTCGCCATAGATTTACTATAAGAAATAAATTTGTTACAATGAACTCGATACAACAACAACAAAAAATAGGCTTATGTGGTTTCTTTTAGTATTTACTACTGATAAAAAGTACATTTTTTTACGTGTTCGAATTTATTATTATAACATAGACGCCTTGAACAAGGAAATACAAGGAAGTTTAGACAAATAAAGATTTATTATTCAAGAATAATTTTTTTTTTACAAATCACATATTTCCTATTTTTCGTTGTCAACGGAAAAAAAAGATGACTCCTTATTAGTAAGAACCACCTTTAAAAGGGAAAATGAATGAAGCTTCCAGGAAGGAATCTGTTGAATGCCCTGTAAGAGGAGATTATGAAATTACTGCCCGATATATACATATGACAGTATTAACAACAAATTATGAATATTTGTCCATATTAATTACGGGACTATATAGGTCTTACTCCCTATCATAGAATAAGTACTTACATTCATGGTTTGTAAGAGGTGAGCTGTGCAATGGTAAGTGGAAGTAGATACAAGTTCAAAAAAAAGAGAAAATGAGATACTAATCAAGCCATCGTCATTGCTGTCTGCATAAGCATTAACATTATCAAAGTAATGTAAAGTTAATGCTATCAGTAACTAGAAGATAATGATTATAATTATTATTTATTTCCAGATTTGTCCTCATTTATTATTTAGTCATTACTGTTATCAATTTGTTGCTGGTGTTTGCTTTGTTTTGATGCAGTACCTGCAATAATAATTGTTTTTTGCTTTGTCTTGCCATTTGCTTTCGTTTTGGCATTGATTTTTGTTGTTGCTGTGATAATTTTTATCGACATTTTATCCTCATTTTAATATTGGTGTTATCATTATCATAATTAGCAATACAATTAACTTTACTGATAACATTGCTATCTGTAGTACTATTATCACTACCTTCATTCTTTATTTTTTTCATTGTTTATTACCAACATCAATTGAACAAAGAGAAGTGAATTGGCTTAGTAACAGAAAATAACAGATTTTTCAATCAGGAAATCCAAAAGGCAATGTACTGGGATGTCCGGATCATACCTCGAGAGGAGGCGGGGGGGGGGGGGTGTTGCTCAACTTTGAGACGACTAAAGTTATCAACTCGATGACGACACAGTATCCAATCTTATCGCCATGATATGTGTCTGCTTTCGAATATTTGTAGGAGTGGGTCGTATTTATATCCTAAGAAAGCGAAGGAGGTGGATGGAAATAGAACAAGAACTATTGGAGTATATGGGGTTTCGAACTCAATGACGTCACAGTTTCCAGTTCTAGCCTAATCGTCATGAGGGTAATGTGTATGCTTTAGGATATTAGTGGATTGTATTTATATCCTAAGAAATCGAAGGAGGTGGATGGACGGAAAACAAAAACTAATAAAGTGAGTAGGTGGGGGGAGAGGCGAATACTGGGAAGACCAGGGTGTGGCCATCACAAGCGAATACTCTTGTTTATACACAGGTATAAACAAGATCATAAGGTTCCTTTTGATGACACTAGAAATTCTAACATTAGGAACTGATTGAATAAAAA